GAAGCATAGTAGTCATTTTCATTCTCCACCAAGACAGCCCTTTGTGGTTTAGCTTATCCACTTCTAAAGAGAACTATGACGACTCCCTTAGAGCAGACCAAACACAGAACTAGTAGAGAACAGATTATTTGCAAAAGCTATGCCAGCTATTTCCAGAATAGTCAAGCCCTTCCATTTGATATCATGGTTTAAAAATTCTAAAGTGCAAGAAAGAATTCCTACTCTATTCTTATGGATTTTTTCCATAGCAACCATCTAGGAAAAAACCCGAGTAAGTACCAGAAAAGGAGCACGCAATCCCAGGTATGATTGTTAGTATGGTTTCCTTATTAAGAATTACGCACATCAAGTTAGCCTGCAGCTATTCTTGAGTTAAGTATTACTCAAGTTAGTAAGCATAGTGCCACATGTCCTCTGAGGCAGCTGTAGGACTGTTTCTACTTCCAGTGAAATCAATATAAAACCCATGTTTCTGCAAAGAATTAATGCAAATGCTTTCACTCCCTTATGGATGTGTGCCCACACCTCATGCTGTATGTACATGTAAAATGTTTCTCCAGTGAGCACTTGACAGTAACCCAGGGTTTACAAACAGAAAACTCCTACCCTCCTATAAAGAGAGTAACAGTAGTCTTTGTAACAGTAAATAAACCCACTACTTCTCCTGCTTATCAGGCATGCTTCCTTCCTGTGACAGGAATTATATCACTGCACTGATGGGAAGAAGAGAAAAGGGATTTTTTTTTTTAAATGGTTGTTTTATCTATCACTTTCACTGAGGCAGAAATTCTAGACTGATTCACAGATGGAAACCCCAAATGCCATGCAGCAAAGCGTTCATCTATGGACAGGAAACGGTATGGGTTTTATAGGCTAGAGTAAAGGTTATGTCACTTTTAAGTACATTTTAAAAGACTGCACAGACACCTTCCTTAATAGTCAACTGGCAAAACTAGCCACACATAAAAGCCTTTAATCGTATACAGGTTATGCCAGTGAAGTTCAATTTCTATTTGCTCCTACAGATTAGCCTTGTTCCCCTAATACCGATAACATTAAGTGATATTGTCACCAAGCTACGTAGGAACAGAAGGAAACGGGAAGAAGGAAAAAAAGTGGCATTTGAAATAAAATGGTGAGAGAATACAAAGGCTACTGCAAATAACTAAATGCAGATGAGATCAGCAGGTATTACAGAAGGAGCAGTAGATGACAGTAAAAGGTACCAGGGAAAAGAACAAAAAGTGTGTAGAATAGGCTGGGTTAAATATGTTTTTTAAAAGGTGTATTTTTAGCAGACTCTGGATGAGTACATGAAGACACTTATCAATGTTCACAGATGTGAATGTAAGACATCAGTGGGAAGGAGCAAGACTTTCTAATCAGCTCTCTTGAAGTATAATAGCTGATCTTTCTTATACTCATGCTATCAGTTTTGGAGAGCTTGACTTTGTCCTTCTGTTGATTTTTTTACCTTTAGAGGCTAAAATTACCTTTTCAAAATATGATCATTTTAAGTCTGACCCAACAACAACTGAAAGAAATGAACAGACAAATAGCTGAATTGGACCCAGTCTGCTCCTGGAATGAATGCTTTTATCTGCGGGTAAGTTTTCACTGAGCATTTTGCTTCTTCATTAGAGTCACAGAAAATACAAAAAGGAAATCCACACAAATCAAATCTAGACAAACTGTAACCTTCACGGTGAACCTAAGAGGCAAAATCCAGCTTTCTTGGCAACCCTCATCCACATTACACATCCACAAACAAGACTGCAATTCACAGTACTGCTCACATGAGCCACCATCTGAACATAGAAAAGATCTTCCCTGTGTACCTGCACCTGAAAATCATGTGAATGAAATACAGACCACATTCATAGGGAACAAGTCAAACTAACTGGAAGCTTTCTGAAGCTAGAATACATCAAGTAGTATTTTAGCCGTATGTAGGTGTGAAACATATTTTGTGGCAGTGTAATACCCTGCTGCAAAAGGAGAGGTTTGGATTTGAAAAAGAACTTTCTGTTGCTTCCTTAACAAATGGGCCTTTTCCTTTCTGTTCTCCTTTCTGGTTCCCTATTCATGTAACAATTATCCCAGGCTCCAGAACGTAGTTTCAGTTTTGAAACTCTCTGTAAATCAATATCCTTATGAACAGCTCCTGCAAAGAGCGTAATCAGCCTGTATGCATATAATTTGCTTAGGGACACATAAGCCTGCGCTTCAACAGTTCATTGTCCCTTTCAACCCATGATTCAGCTATGACATTAATTCTATAAATATATCAGAATGTTGGGTTTATTTGGCTTGGGACACTCATTTTTCTCACTTCTGTTGCTTGGTGTTCCCAGCTGCCTTTGAACGTTAGTCACACAATATACTGTGTGAGAGATGCCTCGGTTAATCGATTAAACAGAAGAATGATGCATAAGGCCCTTTAGAAATAGTGCTGGGAAAAAGAAGTGATGCAATAGATGAAGGAGGAAGCAGCCCAAGCCGCAGAGGGTTCAAAGCCCACTGTTACTAATGGCCATGAGGCACAGGCTGGAGCTACACCCTGCGGCTGTGGGAAGGAACTGGTGGCAGTGAGGGCCCCTGCAGGGCTCCCAGCCCTTCCAAGGAATAGTAGCATAACCTTGGATTTAGGTGGCTGTTGCCAGCACACAACATTGCTGTGAATTCAGCTGTCTTCCCCTGTACACTCTGCATAGACATTATACAGTTAATAAAACGATAAACTCCAATGCAGAAACAGTGAACTAAAGCTTGCATCGCAGAACAAGAATAGTGCTTTCTGATGAAGAGCGTACAATAGTGCTTGGACTACCAAATTATAAGCTGGAGCCAGTTTCTAGACAGATGTTTAGAAGAATAAATGTGTAAGAAGGAGGATTTTACACAGGGAACTAGATCTCTTCTAGAAGCAAGCACCTGTAGGAACAAAATCTTCAGAAATATTCTGCTGGGATGGACAGTCTTGGACAAGGTGGTTGATCTTTCCTCATATTTTCAAGGGTCTGCGGGGCTCCACAGGTCTGCAGGACCATGTTTTTGCACCAGCCCTGGCCTCAACTAGCTACTTTCCATTCCCAGCCTCAGCTCAGTTGCACATACCTAGTTAAGAGTTGTGAGACATCCTCTCTCTCTCTCCCTCCATCCTAAGCAATAATGAGTTTTCCCAGAGTGAATGTTGTTCATTTCCACTATGCTCCTCCTTCTCCACTACACCTCTACTCTGCCCAAATTATGCAGTGGCATCCAGGTCCTGAAGGAATGCGGGTGGGTGGATGAAGATGCTTAAGATAGCTTCCTTTCTTAAGGGTGACACACAAAGTCCTATCAAGAGCGTTATCCAAAATGCGTATTTTAAAGTGTCCCGAAACTTTCATTTTCCTTGGTGGAGACTGCACCAGATTTTCTTTGTGGGATAACTCAGTTCTTACAGAACCATAAGAAACTTTGAAAACCGTATTTAGGCTGTAGATAGCTTCTGCAACTGCTGAAAATTCTCTTGGGGACAACCTAATGAAAACTTTTAAAGAAGCCAACAGCTTACGCCTGTTATCTTGAGTTTCTAGCCTAAGACAATGGCATGAGAGGGCCCTTTAGAAGGCAGGGTTGACTGTGCAGTTTCCCCAGTTCTATCTTGGCAGTGATCAGCAATGCATTGTTCTACTAAAGAAGCTAAAAAAGAAAAAAAAATCTTTCAGACATTTCAGATGATATTCTGCTGATAAATACTAAGATCCTGGTGAGGGGAAAAATTAATTCCATGAGTTGAACTGAAAAAAATCCAAATGCTGAAGTGAGAGAGTTGGCAAAGGGGTGGAGCTTTTTATTATCCAAAGGTGCTCTTTGACTGGGAAATACTGCGAGAGAAACACTCCGCTGGATCCTAGGCTACAGCATTCACATTTGTAGAGCTTGACACTACTAAGAATCTTTAGAGAAAGTAAACACATTTTTCTGTATATTTCTCACTAACATCATCATAATTCTTCCTTTTTGTTAAAAAAAAAAAAAGTTAAACAATGTTTTTCTTGCAAGCAGTTATCAAACATCTTCAGGGTGGACATAGAACAAAATACTTAGCTACACTCGATTTGTTCTATCCACAGACATCATTTACCAAAAGCAATATGCAAGATGAGGGATAAAGATATGTGTTAATTTCCAGTGGGTGCTTTAAACCAGTGAATTTTAAAATCTGCTTTTTAAAATGTGTAGAACCAGCAAACTCTGTTTTGCTTTTCTTCCACACAGAGCAGACAATCATCATTAGAAATTGGCCAAGCCATATTTTAGGATATAAAACACTCCAAGAACTAATGTCGGCAGGGCTGTGGTGATCAGGGATATTAAAGAAATAAAGACTGGGAAAACTCATTTGTTACACACTCTTCAAAAGAGGAACAAATGAAGAGGTGATAAGCAAATAATAAAAACAACTGACAGGAAGATTAGCATTAGACTTTGGATTTGACCAGTAAAGAAAAAGTAGAGATGTTATAAAGACATTGATTATTGAAGAAGGTGGAGAACATCATAAAGACGGGACATTGCTTTTATTAATCAAACCTGTTTAGAGGAAAAAAAAAAAAAAACAAAAAACAAAAAACCAGCAGCCAGAACGTGATATACATGGATGACAAGTGACAAAGGGTTACTGGCAGTGGACACGTGGAAGAAAGGTATCCCAGCCCAAGGTTAATACTTTTCCCTGTCTACATTCCATCACGCAATGGTGGGCTGCACCGCACTTGGACATTTCTGAATGCAAAGCCATGGCTCGAAGGTTCTACCAAATAAGAAGCTGCAGTTCGAATTGTCTTTTTTCCATACTGGTGTTTTCCCGAGATTCAGAAGACTGTAACACTTCAACATGGTCAAGTCCAGCCCTCTTCAGTGGAAGACCTGTGCCATAAGTAGGCAGTTCTTCAAATCTCCCATTAATGGCACTTTCACACATCACATTTAAAGGCGATCAAGGAGAGCTCTCATCTTGGCAGGCAGCTGGCCAGTGCATCGGGCCTTGGTACGGTCACAAAGTTCATGGTGCAGTGCAATAGTGGACAGATCTTTTCATGATCCTTCAACACTTGACTCAAGTGTTTCATTTCATCTGTTAGCTTTCCGATTTCTCTTTTCAGGGAGGTATTTTCTTGCTCAAGAGACTCATATTCCTGGAAGGAGGGAAACAAACAAAAAAAAAGCCTACTCGTAGTAAAAACATTCCTTTCAGTGCTTCCACCTTGAGTATATTCATGTAACTAGAAAAACTGCGTGGTTTCTTATTACAATGTGCAAAATGCTAAGGAACACAGCCTGGGTGCCGGAACGTGCTTTACGACCTGTGCCCTGACCACACTGTGATCTCTTTTGTGGCCCTGCAGACCAGGAGGTGCCGCTGGCCCTTGGGGGTCCCCAGCAGCCCCAGGTGGCCGCGTCCCCGTGGTGGCCTCTTCCAGCCCTGGGCCACCTCTGCTGGGAAGGGCCAAGCAGGGCAGCTCTGCACCGTCAGAGCAGAGAAAATGAAAGCACGGAGCGCAGGCAGGTGCTGGGAAAACCTGGTGCCTGGCATTGCTGGCCCCGGGCCAGCGCAGGGAAAGGCCATTTACCCAGGTGCTGGCTGAGATGCACGCCCAGCACAACGCGCCCGGTGCCAGCCACTCTTCTCCAGCCCGGCTGGGGCTTGTAGCCACCTGCTCAGATGCCCAGGAACTCAAGAGCAGGAGGAGGAGAGCATCATGCCAGCTTGTTCCCAGCCCTACTTTGTCACCAGAAGGCCTGACCACTGCCTTGGTTATCCCTGACCCAGGCTGCTTTTGAGCTGAGGCTTCTCTGGCAATGAATAAGCTGCTATTAACTGCAGGGGAGTTTTGAGATGCTCTACAGCCATACATCTGTGACAGATGTGAGATTCATTTGTCACATTTTTTGATAACTGCATGTTTCAAGTGCCCCTGCTGTCAAGACTTCTCATCCCAAAGAGAAGAGAGCTAGAGGTTCAGAGCCACCCCACGGAAAACCTGCAGGTGTCTGCACCTCACTGCTGGCCTGGGGCTCAACACTCACCCACTCATTCTCACCGCCCTGGGAAAGGTTCAGAGCAAACTTCAAAGCCTACACATGCCTTAAAAGGGCTGTTTGTCAGGCAGGAGGGAGAGCCTCACATGAAATGCTCCTCTGGGCAGCTTGGCACTGCTTTTGCTGCCCTTTGCTGCAGAAGTTTGGATCCCCTTGGCCTCCCTCACACCCTTCCACCACGCACCACTCTCACCCACAGAGTAAAACAGGCACGGTCCTCCTAAGACATTATTGTAGCCAAACTCCAGCCAAATTGTCCATCCCTGACTCGCTCTGCTCACCTCTTGTTGCCCCAGACTCCATGGGGTTGGGTTTTGGAGTAAGAGTTACTCTCCCATTTTCAGGGACGAGACTATCAAATTGTTCTTGCTAAGAGTGAATGCCTATTCAACCAGATCTGCCTGAACCTGGGAAAACCTGTGTGCCTGAGAATGAAGATTCCCAGCCCGAGGAAGATCCTCAAGTCCAGGAGGAACATCAGAGAGGCTGCAGGACAGCGCAGGGCCCAGAAATGATTCCACAAAAGCCAGGGGTTACCCCTTTCCAGAAGCACCCTGCACCTGGCTTTCTCAGGCGCTGACTCAGAGGAGATCTGGGAAAAACCAAACCCAAAACTCCCCACACAGTCCCTCTTGGCCTCTGCTGACTGTTGGCAGATCCTTCCACACTGAGAAAGAAAAGAGCCTGTGCTGAACCTCCAGAGCTGAACAACTGACTCAGCCACAATTGCAGCAGCAGAACTAACACTTACCCCAAGAGTCTTGGTAACAACAGAAGTACTGTTGTGCGAGGTAACATCCAAAACCAGAGAAAGGGGATTCCTGTCCTCCACCGTTTGCACTGACACGAGAAAACTACACCACATTGTGATATTGAGAAGTATTAAGAGTTTCTGGAAGAATCGGTTACTTTCATGGTTTTTTGGAAACACCCACTGTTATTTATCAGAGCATACAAGTATAACAGCTAACTGAACCGAGCCCTCACGCTTGGAGGTTTTGAAGTTCCTAAGAAGCCTTTTCAACTGGGTATTTCTGGCTCAACACCACATGTTTAGAATTGACTTAAGCCAGCACTGCCACTAAGCAGCACGGTCCCCTCGTCCTCCATCGCCTTCTCCCTCGTAAGGCAGCAAGCATTCATCCACTGCCATAGCGAACGTGACAAGCTTAACACTAATCCAGAAGAAAATGGGTTTGTTTTAGCCCAGAGGAGCCCTGTGATCCAGTTCACTGGGTGGTCACGGGAACAACAAACAAGGGAGGGCGAGGCGAGGGCAGGACCACGTCTCTCTCTCCCTGGCAGCGTCGATGGCAGAGCTGCACCGTCCGACGTGAGCATCGGTGTCCAGGAGTTCCCGACCGGGCACCCTGCAGCACGCGTGTCTCTGCCTCACACCCACAGCCCTCTGAGCTGGATTAGCGTGAAGACAGGCCCACGCCTGCTTAAGAAGTCCCATTTATTGTAAAGTCCCGCACTCGGTACCCGAGCTGTGCCAGCAAAACATCAAGTACTCATTCACCTCGTGAAGTTTATCTGCTTTCTGAGTTTGCTTCTTCCGGCTCCTCTGTGCAGCAACTCGATTTTTTTCTCTCCTCCTTACCTTCCTGTCATCTTCTTCGTGACTCTGGAAAACATAAGCCAGAAACATCTCACTGGTTTTTAAGGGGCACACGGAGACTCCCGAAGCCAGGCATATTTCGGGTTGCCGAGCCCGAGCACACGCGCCCCATTTCACAGCGCCGAACCCCGGCCTCCCGCAGACGGCACGGCG